TTGATTGATTGATTGATTGTCAGCTTGACATGAGGTTGAATTGTCTGGGAAGAGGAAACTGAAAGGATTTTGCATCCCTATAAGCCTCTCTGCCGACACAGCAATCCAAATCAGACCAAATCAGAAAAAGCCCCGGTTTAATGGGTAAAGTGTTCCCAGGTGATTCTCCAGAGAGGAGACAGGGACGAGAGACCGAAAAACCACGTGTCTGTTTTCTGGGATGCAGTTTAAATACCCTGTAGGAGTGGTCTTGAGCATCTCTGAGGGAGAAGTCGTGTTTGGTGGGCTTTGAGGGGGCGGGTTTGGGGAAAGAGATGGGGGAGGGGAGTTGGGGTGGATCTTCCACCAGAACAGGAGCCTCAGTTGAGAAAATGCCTCCCTCAGATTGGCCTGTGGGCAAATCAGTGGGGTATTTTATTGATTACCGATTGCTATGGGAGGGCCCAGCCCACTGTGGGTGGTGCCACCCCTAGACAAGTGGTCCTGGGTTATATAAGAAAGCAGGCTGAGCAAGCCATGCGGAGCAGGCCAATTAACAGCATCTCTCCATGGCCTCTGCTTCAGTTCTTGTGTCTAGGTTCTTGCCTTGAGTTCTTTCAGTGATGGACTGTAACGTCTAAACCAAATCAACCTTTTCCCCCCCAGGTTGTTTTTGGTCCTGGTGTTTATCACAGCAACGGAGGAGCAAATTAGGACATAACCTATGTCAGGATGCAGCACAGAGCAAGGCCTGGGTTCAAATCATGACAACAGGTTTGCAGCCACCATGAGCAGACAGAGACAGCAGCCTATGGGAGGACACTTGGCACATTGCAGACTCCCGCCATCTCTGACCTTGTATCTACTCAAAGCCAGCCTTGTCCCCATGTTCCCATGACACTCAGAAATGCACCCCAAGTTTCCAAACACCCACAGGGCAATACAATGAGATTATGTCTCTGAGCCCCAATCCACCCCAAGCCCTAGATAGGTAGCAGCACAAAAATGGGCTTGGATGGGAGATACCTGTCTTTGGCCGACGTGTGTCCCACGGCTCCCACAGGAGATCACAGGCATGCTGTAGGGTGACCCTGGGCTTATCAATCACAACCAGGAAGGTCTCAGCACCACGCTGGCTCAAGTGACAGTGTCAGAGGATATAAACAAGCCTAGGACACCACACAGTGCAAAGCCACCCAAGGAAATGACTGGCCCCGGGTTGGATGCTGTCAGGAGGCAGGGAATTTTAGGAAGCTAGGTGAGACGCAGCAGCCACTCCAGGCTGCCAGCAGAGGGCAGTGTGAGGCCATGTGAGTTTTATTCATGGTTGTGATTCAGTCCTGGTGGACTCACAGCGGGTTCCATTTAGGCCTGGAAGACACTCCCAGAAATTCTAGTGTGAGCGCCAAGGCTCCTGGAATGTTGCCAGATTGTCTTCAGCTGAGCCCACCTCCTCCCCTCCCCAAGACCCTGAGGAAGGAGGGTAGCATCCTGAGTTCCCATGGACAGGGAGGGCCAGGCAGAGGTAAGACGGGTGGGTGGTGCAAGAAAAGGGAGGTGGGGACCAAGCCTGCTGCACCCCCAGGAGAGCAAAGCAAGTCCAGTGCACCTGTCCCACAGAGAAGGGGTGCTCCCCTCAGAGTGACAGCGACCTCCTGGCTTGACTAAGGACCGGAGAGTGACAAGATGTGGGTTTCTTCTATAAGCTTCGGACAGGAGGGTGGCCAGTGTGGATGAACAATGACAGGTTGGTTAGTTCAGCCAAGCTGGAACCGTGAAGTTCAGATCCCGTGGACCGCTACAAATAGCCGCTCTCTTTGCATTTTATTTGTGTAATGCAAACACGGACTTTACAAGTTGGAGAGGTTTTCTAAAGGCTTGGGGTGCTTAACCTCCAAAGTCAACCAGTTGTGGGTAAGGAGACAGAACCTGGCCCATCCTGCCAGCCTGGAAGGCCCTGCGCTGTTGACCCTGGCCTGGGGCTTCTCCCTCTGTCTCTCCATTCATCACAGCAGGTCCAGGGACTGCTGACTCCCTCATGGGGGCCTCTGTGACCATGTTCTCTGATTCTCCGGGACCTCTTTATTCGGGTTTCTTGACACTGAGGTGACATCTCTGCAATGGGACACTCAAGAAGCTTGCCCCTATGCTTGGGTTTACTGACCAGTTCCCCTGGGTCCCTCCCTGCACCAAGCAGAGCAGGGACGAGAGTGAAGGAAGCCTGCTGTGGGATGGTCTGTATGTCAAATGTGTTGCTGATTGGTCAATGAATAAATCACTGATTGGCAGTGGCCAGGCAGGAAGTATAGGCGGGACTAACAGAGAGGAAAATTGAGAGAACAGGAAGTTGGAGAGGGAGACACTGCCAGCCGCCATCAGGACGAGGAGGATGTAAAGTACCGGTAAGCCACAAGCCACGTGGCAAGGTATAGATTAATAGAAATGGATTAATTTAAGCTGTAAGAACAGTTAGCAAGAAGCCTGCCACGGCCATACAGTTTGTAACCAATATAAGTCTCTGTGTTTACTTGATCGGGTTTGAGCGGCTTGGGACTGGCGGGTGAGAGAGATTTGCCCTGACTGTGGGCCAGGCAGAAAAACTCTAGCAACAGAAGCCAGGCACTTACCTCACATGACAGTGTGCAGGGGACACCAGAGAGCTCAGTGGTCAAGAAAATATCTTGAGATCCCATTTAAAACTGAAATTCAGGCTGGAGACATGGCTTAGTAGTTAAGGGTGATGTGAACCTAAAAGTGTCCTTCCCGAGCTTTGCAGGTGGACAGCAAGAGGGGCCCCTTTGGGTTCTAAACAAAGACACCCTGTCAACCTCCCTCTATGTTGGGGCTTTGGGACACAGTGCCTGTGGGAAGACTTCCTGTTGTATCCTGTTGTATGTGAGCTTAGGGCAGTGACATCTCACTTCTGATGTGCCCAGAGCTCTAATGGTGAGGGCCCCAAGTCCAAGGTCACTAAGCAGGGTGGGGACCAGGGTCAAGTGTGGTGTAAAGTGTTCACTTTGCATGGAAATGCACAGAAAAATCAGCCATCAAGATAGATATCAAGATTTTAAAAATCAAAAGTAATGTAGAAATATGCAATGAACAAAATGTCAAAATTCTGCACTTGGATAAGTGTCCTACTTTTACACTGTAATTCTGGCCCTGCTTCCAATAAAACTTTATTTATAAAAGCAAGTAGGAGCCAAGGAGGCAGGAGCTTTGCCTACCATACAGGCTCAAACGTGTCTCCAGAGTTTACTCTGATGGTCCTATAAGGAGTGGGTTCCCACTGTTTTCCCCTGGGCATCCTGGGTGTCACGGTCACTGTAACAGTCTGATATTTTTTCAATGTGACTGGCCCAAAATCACCTTGAATCATCATTCCCAGTGCAGTGGTATTTCAGGGGACGAAGGTCTTTTCCAAGAAGAAGAAACCACGGAACCTCAGCTTAGTGAGAAGCAATGTTGTCTGTAATTGGGGCATACAGTAGCATGAATGGTGTGGCCTCACGAGGGTCCCCTGTGGGAGTAGGGCTAAGGATCAGCCTTACAGCACATCCAGGGGATTCCACCTTCAAACCTTCCCATAGTGAGTGCAGAGAAAAGCCTCACCAGGAAATGAAGAGAGGGGGACCAACAGCCTAGAGGCTGTGGACACTGGGCAGGGATGTGAGACCACTGCTGTCTATTAGAAAAAAAAATGCCACCTACAGTGTGGCCAATGTTAAATTTGACTGTAGATAAATACAAACCAGGCCAGAATATATGATGGCTTTCTTAGTTTGCTTTCTTCACAAGGAAGGCATAAAGATTTGTAAATCTTGCAGAAGAGGTGTTTCTTCTTCTTCTTCTTCTTCTTCTTCTTCTTCTTCTTCTTCTTCTTCTTCTTCTTCTTCCTCCTCCTCCTCCTCCTCCTCCTCCTCCTCCTCCTCCTCCTCCTCCTTGTCCTCCTCTATCTTCTCCTTGTCCTTTTTCTCATCTTACAGAGGAAATGTGCTGTAGAAGGCTCCCCCTGCCTACTGTCCTAGTTAGCTCTACCTCAATTTGACACAGCCTAGAGTCACCTGAGAAAGCAGTCTCAATTGAGGCCCTGCCCAGATCAGATTGGCCTGTCTTGGGGTGGGGTGGGGATTGTCTTACTTGTTAATTGATATAAAGTGGTCCAGACAACTGTGGACGGCACCATCCCTAGACACGGGGGCGGGGGGGGGGGGGGGCTGTGCCTTGCGATGGGGAGGGACTGGGCTTTATAAGCAAGTCAACTAAGCAAGAGCCCAAGACTGTGTCAGCGGGAGGCATCCTTTATGGTTTCTGATTCAATTTCCTGCTGTGACTTCCCTCAGGGATGGGACTGTGACCTGGAAGTATAAGCCAGATAAACCCTTCTGCCCCTGAGTTGATTTGGGTCAGAGTGTCTCATCACAACAACAGAGGGCTCCTGGCTTGAGGCTCTTGCTCTTAGTGTGTTATGACAACTCAGGGTCAGTTGCCCATGGGCCTGGGACACCCTCTCCCCAGTGAAGTGTGACCCTTCACCCCCCCACCCCCACCCCAAGAGTGGCACGCAGAAATAAACGCAAGAGCAGAGGTCTCAGCAATCAGAGCAGCCTTGTGCTGAGTTCGGGTCTTTATTCTTCAGGACTCCAGGCTCCTAGATTGGCCAGCAGCAGAGAGAGCAGAGAAGGGATGAGTGTTGCCCTCGGCCACCACCGCCAGCAAGTGTCCAGGGTGCAGAGCCCCCTTCCCAGAGCCTGGGTGGCTTCAAAATGTGCATTCTGGGAAGGAAGGAAGGAAAGGGTCAAGGTGAGTCCGGTCATCCCCACCCAGGGCTACCTGGTCAGGCCAGCACCTGGCTGCCTTCTTCCCTGGTCACAGGGGAAACATGTGCCCCCCAAAGCCTGCAAGAGACACTGTGCATCCTCCCTGGCACCGCCAAACCAGATGACTGGACCCCCAGTGGTCCTGGCAGAGGGCATGTGAAATGGTACCTGGAAGGGAGCCAGAGGCAAGTGACCTGCCAATCATGGGGCAGTGGCCAGCTCCTGCCACTGCTCCTGACTATACTCAGTCCTCCTGGGCTCTGCGGAAGGAGAAGGAGCCTGTACACGGCACACTTCCATTCAGCTGGGGCTCAGCCATCTGTCACCCAGGCCAAAGAGCACATCTGGCTCCTTTAAGTGCCAGCCCAGGACAATGCCTTGTAGAGATACAGCCTCTTAGAAGGTGAGCCAGCATTTGGATGTGACAGATGGCTCACAGTAGATGCCTCCCCCCCCCCCCAAGATGTGGTAGGTTGCAGCCTGGGTAAAACAGGGTTGTCAAGCCACCCGGGTGCCTGGCCATCTGCTGTTTGCACACGGCCCTACCCAGGGATTCTCAGGGTCCTTGCCCTGCAACCAGCTCCACCCAGGGAGGGGATAAGAGAGGCAGGAACAAGAGTGGGGAGGAGCCTGGGCATGAGCACAGTCACCTGGCTACTGGTCTGCTGTGAGCATGTCCTATAGGGACTAGAGATGGCTAGCTTGCTAAAACCAGGCTCAGCATCAGCCCATTTCCACAGCTCCATGGTGTCCATGTTTCACACCAGTTTCCACCGAGTGTGTGTGTGTGTGTGTGTGTGTGTGTGTGTGTGTGTGTGTGTGTGTGTGTGTGTGTGTGTTGGGGGAAGAGTGGGCAAATGTCAGATTCTCAGGTGTTGTTCCTCAGGAGCTATCTGCTTTGGTGTGTGTGTGTGTGTGTGTGTGTGTGTGTGTGTTCATGTATGTGTATATCTACATTTATTTACTCCGTGTGTGTGCATATGTGCAGGGGAGGCATGCCAGTGCACAGGTGGACGTCAGAAGACGACTTGATGGAGCGTCAATTCTCTTCGGCCGCCATGGGGGTTTCAGGAATTGAATCCACGTCATCAGTCTGGGCAGCAAGCACCTTTATCTGCTGAACCACCTCACTAGTCCTACCTTGCTTATTGAGATGGGGGTCCCTCACTGGCCTGAAACTCTCCAGTTAGGCTAGGCTAGCTGGCCAGCAAGGCCCAGGGATCTGTATGCCTCTCCCTCCCCAGTGATGAGGGTCCAAGCATGGACCACCGCACCAGGCTTTTTAACATGGTTTCGTGAATCAAACTCATGACCTCATGCTTGTGTGGGAAGCATTCTACTGACTGGATCATCTCCCTGGCCCTCAGAACGCATGTTTATATTTTATAGAAAGGACCAGCCACTGGCCACTAGCTGCCCCGGGCACAAAGCCCCTGATATGAGGTCTCCCATGTGAGGCTTCCACCAAGGCACAGTGACAATGCTGATTCCTGCTAAGGCCCAGCCACGTGGGAGGACAGGGCTGCCCTGGGTACCACCAGCTGAGCTTACCTGTCTCTTGCAGAGGCTTGAAGCACCAGGGCACATTCGGGATGCTGGAGTCGAAGCAGCAGCCACGGTTGTTGCACTGCTCCTGTGTGACTTTGGGGTAGCCACAGTCCACCCTGACATTTGCCGGGACCATACACTGGCTTGGAGCTGTCCAAACAAAACCCAGTCAGCTGCCAGACGGCACGTGTGGGGCCACTTTCTTGCTTCCTGTGGAACCCCCTCCACCCTTCCTCCTGAATTCAAAGATAGCCACAGTCTTGCCCCGTGGGGGATGTCTAAAGAAAAGCAGTTCATTATCAAATGAACTGACAGTGGAAAGTGGGAATACTGAGCTAAAATCATCCCCGGCTGTCGCTGGTTCCAACCACCGCTACGCCTAGCATCCTTCGACTAGCAGGTGAGACCTTTGGGATGTGTTGCCTTAACAGACCCCTAGCTGCCACCAACTCCAAAGCTAAGAATGCCATCAGATAGCACCCGAAGCACCCCGCCCCCTCTGCTGTAGCCCTGACGTCCCCATTAGTGTACTCAGGGAATGCCTTGCGTGGTGAGTTTCCTGGCTGTAGCCACTCATATTTGACTCAGGATAAATCTTGGGTTGTTTTTTTTTTTTTTGAGACAGAATCTCATGTAGCCCAGGCTGGCCCTTGATCTTGCCGTGCACTCGTGGATTTAGAAGGATAACTGTGGTCTGCCCGCACCACTGAATGCTAACCCAAAGAACTTGGCCATTTGCCTAGGGTCCCTCTTTTGGCTTATTCATCACACCTGGTCAGGAAATCATAAACAGGGCTAAATGCCCTCCAGCTGACAGGCTCCCAGGAATCCAGGGGCCCCTGAACCTTAAAACAAGGGTCCCTTCTTTGTTTGATCCATAAGAACTGTCCCCTCCTTGGACCTGCCTAGGCTCAATGTGAAGGGCTCTGCTGACTCCCCATGGGAAACCTTGATTTGGGGGATGTGGGGATGTGGGGGTGCTTGGGAGGGAGGGCTGGGAGGTGGGAGGAGGGAGGAGGGAGGAGGTGGGAACTGTGGGTGATATGTAGAGTGAGTAGAAAATTTCTTAATAAAGAAAAATGAAGAAAAAAAAAAGGAAAAAAAAGAACTGTCCCCTCCCCAGCGGAAAGCGTCCCATGGGGAAGATCGCCATGTGAACTACTCCAATGTCTCTGCTGTAGCTCTCCACCACAGGCTGGCTAGCTTGTCCTGTCTGAGCTGTGAGCTTTCTCCATCTCCTGCACTCCTGCTTCAAGACCGTACGCTTCTGCATACGTGCCCCGAAAGCCTGCCTCCTTTCATCGGCTAACTGATTTCCCTTACGAACATGGAAACCCAGCAACCTTCCTCATCTCCCCCACTGCAGCGGGTCCATCACGCCTTCCTCGGCTACTCCAGACCCTGACCCAGGGCCCTAAGGGACCTTCTGAAACTTCAACCCGGCTCCAGCTCCGAGATGCTCTTACACAGCTGACACGCAGAGTTTCACAGCTCCCCAGGAGACCTACTGTCTCCACCCTGGTCAGTTGTGGCCTGGTGAAGGTCATACCCCATGTCTCTGAGCTTGGCCACCTCTCACCCAGCACTGTGATTCAGTGGTTTCTGTAAACCATCTGGAGCTTCCACTGCCTTCTCAACTGTTTCTTTTTCTTTTTTTTTGTTCTGGTAACTTGCCGGGAGGGTGTGTAAAGACCACCACTGTTCAGAAATCTCCAGCAAAGAAGGAAATGAGAAAGGATGAGCACCTGCCAGCCCTCCCACCCCAGCTTTGGCTCCAACCCCGCTGCAGACTCTGAAGAGGAGAGAAGTATGTTCAATTTCTCTGAGCCTCCATTAACTTGACTGTGAAATGGGACACAAAGAGACACTCTGTAGGATTTCTGTAAGAAAGTGTGTGCCTGGTAAATTAAATTGATGTAGAAGGTAGGTAGGTCTTCTGTGTCCCTCCCCCTGCTGAGAGGTTCCAGCCTAGTACCAAGGGTAGCAGATAGGTACTTACACAGGCCAACATACTCCGAAGCTACCCCAGAGGACCCCGCAAGCAAGATCAGCAGCATTAGCCAGAGGGCTCTGGTCTCCATGGCAGCAGGCAAGCTTTAGGATCAGCACACAGGATGTGCAGGGTCACAAGAAAGGCCCTTTTATACCCATATGTTTGCTGGGTCCTGTGGACTCTGGCCTCTAGCTCCACCACCTTCTGTCCTGTGAATTCCAGAAGACTCCTCCCCTATCCTAAGGTGGGGGATGGAGTGGGGAGGGAGGAATGAGAAGGGGTGGGACAGCCACTGCAGAGTCCAGCCTGGAAGCAGGGTCTGTCAATCACTGTATGAACCTAGTCTGGAAGAAGGGTCTGTGAGGCTGCAAGGGACATTTAGTCTCGTGGTCTCAATCACCTTACAGGAGCAATGCAGAGGACCCTGGGCCACTTAGTTCACAGTACCACTGACACCTGGAACGCATATGACAACTATGTTGGGTCCCTGAGTCTCCAGCATCTATCACTCTTAAAGGTGGAAACTCTAGCTCTACGCTTTCCCCAGAAAAGCCATTTATTATTATTAGCTATGCTTTAATAAATACCTAAAATGCATTTATTCAATGTATTTTAATAAAAATAGTATACATTTGGTTTTTTAAATAAAATAGTAGAAAGCCCCCCCCCCCTTCTGTCTAGAGACATCTATTTTCAGCACCTCTGGTCTCTAGAGTCAAGTGGATTTTTTTAAATTTACTTACTTAATTGTGTGTGTGTGTGTGTGTGTGTGTGTGTGTGTGTGTGTGTGTACCTGCACGTATGCAGGGGCATGCAGAGGTCAGAAGAGACATCAGACCCTCTAGAACTGGAGTTACAGACAATTGGGAGGCACTATGTGGGTGCTGGGACTTGAACTTGGGTCCTCTGGAAGAGCAGCCAGTGCTCTTCACCACTGAGTCACCCCTCCAGCCCCTCCTAAGCAGATTTTTAACCCAAGCAGGTTCAGACTCTTCATTTTTGTCCAGTCTGCCTTGCCTTTCTTTCAATAAATGGTCGACATTGGAAACCAGCCTTGAACAGCGTGTGAGGCTGAGGCTGGGACAAGGAGACCTGGCTTCTGAAGGAACAAGACAGTTTCTCAAGTCTGACAGAGTTCACATGAAATTGCTCCAGCAGCTGGGGCTAGCCATTAGTTCAACGGGGATCTTCCTTTGCCTGGTCCTCACCGACCAGCATTGTGACATCCATGTGCTTTCACAGGGACCACCTGAGAAACCGTCTAGCACATTTGTACATCATCCTGTAAAATGGCTCCATCTGACGGCTCAGACTTGGCATCTGCATTGAGCCAGTATGAGAATGGATCCCTAAAGGGGTGTCCAGGAGTCATCCTTCACTGACTGGCCAGTGGAAGCCTGAAGGCTGGTCCTGGCATCAGAGATGCAGCCTCCCATATGGGGAGAGCATGAAGTACACAGAGTCTGGATCAAAGACCAGAGACCTCATGACAACCAGCAGAGCCCACAGGGATCATCACAGCCTGGAGAGGAGTGAAAAGGACTAAGTCGGGAGCTGTGACATGTAAGAGTTGTCAGGATGAGGCGAGATCTACCTGGGTTTTGAGGCCTGGGTATGAGTTCACTGGATGAGTAAGGGTCAGAAGGGCATCGGGAGTGGCACTGCCTGCTTGGGGACACTTATCAGCATCCCACAACAATACAGTCCTTGAGGCAGGTGAAGGCTGAATATGGTGCCACCTCTCCCTTTTCTCAAGTTACCACTCTTGGTTGTTGGAGCCAGCAGATAGGTGGAGGATGAAGGCAGCTTCGTCGTCGTCACCAGGAATTCCTGCTGGCCACCTGTCACTCGCTCTGTCACTCGTTCTGCAGCTGCGCTAGGCGTGGCCCGCCCTCCCTGTGAATTCTTCTCTGGCCTCCCAGGCCCTTCTGAGTCATCAGGACCTAGATGTGGATGTTGGGGGAAGCAAACAACCATGCCGGGTTCAGGGGGTGCCCTTGTCTTTTGGGGATAAATGTAAATGTGACGTACTAGCTGCAGAAGGTGAGCCCCACCGAAGGGCTGCGTCCCCAGCCTTGAGTATGAAGACAGTATCCACCCACCACTGTCAGGAAGGCATAGTTCCTGGTGTTCTAGGAAAACAATGGCCAGCTTAGAGAATACTCAGGGCCCTGGCTTTGGCCGCCCTAGGGGACTCCCCACAGCCATCCCTGGCTCCAGACGTCTGTAGGTGGGCGGGGCTGTGGCATCGGAATCATCTCCCAGGGACACCTTCTGGAACAGAGATAAGTCTAAAACACAGCAGCTGACAGCCGAGCAGCAGGGCACTGCATCACACACACACACACCGCCCCGCCTTTCCCCTGCAGGTTCATAGCTCTTACCACCCAGCGACAGGAGCCACCTCAGAGGAGCCAGTCTGCGGCCTTGCAGTGGCCTTGAATCTTCAGGGAAGCCAAGAGCCCTTCCCTACCAGACCAGGAGGCACACAGCTTTTCTCAGACGTTCACAAAAGCAAAACTGCAGGTGTGGGATCAAAGCCCTGGACAGATGGCATGGGGAACCCCTATGCACGAGGGCTGCCCACCAGCAACCCAGATGAGCCACTGCCTCTCTAGGGTACCAGACTTCCTCTCTCCGTGAACCAAGGTGGTGTCATGGGGATTTTCAAATGTGCTGGGTTGGTCAGTATCCTTGGCCTGTGACTTTGTTTAGAAGTAAGGTTCTTGTGGATGTAATTCAGTGAACAGTGATAGCATGATACAGGAGTAAAGGTGGCCATAACTCCAACTGATGGACACCTTTTAAGAGGAGGAAAAGATACAGAGACAGGACAATGTGAGCAGCAACATGGGAGAAGATGGTCATGTAACAATGGGACAGAGGCAGGAGGGACAAGTTCACAAGCCAAGGAGTGCCAAGAAACAGCCACCAGGAGTGAAGAGCAGCAAAAATGTCCCCTGCCCTTGAGCTGGGTATGGTGGCGCACGCCTTTAATCCCAGCAGTGGAAAGGCAGAGACAGGTGGATCTCTGTGAGTTCCAGGCCAGCCTGGTCTACACAGTGAGTTCCAGAATAGCCGGAGCTGTGTAGTGAGACCCGGTCTCAACAAAACAAAGTCTCCTGCCCAGAGTCCATGCAGAGGTCAGTGCTCTGCCAACACCTTGGTCTTGGACTCGTGGGCGTCCAGGTTGGAGAGCCAAGACTCTGTCAGGTGAACCATCTCTCCTGGTCCTTTCTACAGCAGCCAGAGGCTCTGAGGCCACTTCAGCCTCTGTTTCTGGCAGGAAGGTCCAGAGCATTTGGTGCTTTCCATGGCTCATCTCTGCTGGCCTCCCCTCTGCTCACCTTCCCTCTGCTGGCCTCCCCTCTGCTGATCCGCCCTCTCCTGACCTCCCCTCTGCTGACCCGCCCTCTGCTGGCCTCCCCTCTGCTGACCTGCCCTCTCCTCATCTCCACTCTGCTGACCCGCCCTCTGCTGACCTCCCCTCTGCTGACCTCCCCTCTGCTGACCCGCCCTCTCCTGACTTCCCCTCTGCTCACCTCCCCTCTGCTGACCCGCCCTCTCCTGACCTCCCCTCTGCTGACCTCCCCTCTGTTGACCTCCCCTCTGCAGGCCTCCCCTCTGCTGACCTCCCCTCTGCAGGCCTCCCCTCTGCTCACCTCCTCTCTGCAGACCTCCCCTCTGCTCACCTCCCCTCTGCTGACCTGCCCTCTCCTGACCTCCCCTCTGCTCACCTCCCCTCTGCTGACCCACCCTCTCCTGACTTCCCCTCTTCTCACCTCCCCTCTGCTGACCCGCCCTCTGCTGACCTCCCCTCTGCTCACCTCCCCTCTGTTGACCTCCCCTCTGCAGGCCTCCCCTCTGCTGACCTCCCCTCTGCTGACCTCCCCTCTGCTGGCTCCCCTCTGCTCACCTCCCCTCTGCTGACCCGCGCTCTGCTGACCCGCCCTCTGCTCACCTCCCCTCTGCTGGCTCCCCTCTGCTCACCTCCCCTCTGCTCACCTCCCCTCTGCTGACCCGCCCTCTCCTGACTTCCCCTCTGCTCACCTCCCCTCTGCTGACCCGCCCTCTCCTGACTTCCCCTCTGCTGACCTCCCCTCTGTTGACCTCCCCTCTGCAGGCCTCCCCTCTGCTGACCTCCCCTCTGCAGGCCTCCCCTCTGCTCACCTCCTCTCTGCAGACCTCCCCTCTGCTCACCTCCCCTCTGCTGACCTGCCCTCTCCTGACCTCCCCTCTGCTCACCTCCCCTCTGCTGACCCGCCCTCTCCTGACTTCCCCTCTTCTCACCTCCCCTCTGCTGACCCGCCTTCTCCTGACCTCCCCTCTGCTGACCTCCCCTCTGCTGACCCGCCCTCTGCTGACCTCCCCTCTGCTCACCTCCCCTCTGTTGACCTCCCCTCTGCAGGCCTCCCCTCTGCTGACCTCCCCTCTGCTGACCTCCCCTCTGCTGGCTCCCCTCTGCTCACCTCCCCTCTGCTGACCCGCGCTCTGCTGACCCGCCCTCTGCTCACCTCCCCTCTGCTCACCTCCCCTCTGCTGGCTCCCCTCTGCTCACCTCCCCTCTGCTCACCTCCCCTCTGCTGACCCGCCCTCTGCTCACCTCCCCTCTGCTGACCCACCCTCTGGTGGAGGTCAGCCTCAAATGTCTGTCTCTCCCTCCGTGGTGACTACGCTGACTTTTCAGGATGAAAAGTCGGACGACCCCATGACCTCTAACACTGCATACAGAGCGGTGCTTCAGGAGCTGTCTGCTTCCACACCATCGTGGACATTCTGAACCTTTACCGGAAACACTTGAAACCCAGATCGCTGATCGGTAATTTGTAAAGAACCTACATTAAAAATAGGGAAAGCACAATATGATTTTTTAAAAGACACACACACAAAAAGAGAAATACACTATAAATACAGCTAAGAGGCCAGCTTCAGTTCGCAGTTCAGAGTCACAACACTAGAGTCGGCACACCTTTGCCTGCACGCGGGTGTGGGTGCGTTGAGAGTGTGATCGACTCCCACTGTGTCAGGCACGTTGACAACAATCTACGCTGAAGAAGCCTGCGTTTCCATAGGAAGAAATTGAAAACA